TATCAGTAGGGCCAGGGCTGCGGCCCGGGGGCCCTCCCCACCAGCTGTTGCCTCTCAGACCTGACTCCTTGGTGCCTCTTGACGTACAGGCTGTGAAAGTTGTTTGTGTTCTCTGGCCGTGACCTCTGTCCGGCCTGCAGCCGTGTCATGATCTCTGCTTTCATCTCTCGGGCCAGGTAGGCGGGGAGGATGGACAAAAGGAGGTGCTCCTGGAGAAGGTCCCTATGAATGACAGTCCTCCTACCCTCGTGTGCCCTAGAGCCAAGGACCTCAGCCCTTCCGATTACACAGGCTCCCACAGATTGCGCATGACCTGCCCATTTTGTTTTGTTCTTGGAACTGAACTCAGTATCAACCCCTAGATTTGAAATTTTCCTTTAATATAATAACTATTGTTATTATTATTATTAATTATTGTCTTGAGAAAGTATCTCACTACGTAGCCCTGGCTGGCCTGAAATTCCCTGTCTAAACCAGGATGGCCTCAGACTCACGGAGATATGTCTGCCTTTGCCTCCCAAGAACTGAGATTGAAGGTGTGCACCACTATACCTGGCTAAAATTTAATTTTATCATGATTATATGACGTGTGTGTATGTGGGTGCATGTGCCACAGTGTGTGGGTGGAGGTCAGAGGACAGCTTTGTGGAGTCTGTTGTCTCTGTCTACCTTCCCTTAGGTTCTAGGACCTCAGTCTTGTGCAGCCTTACCCTCAGCTGTCTCTCTGGGCTTCAATTTATGCATAACGACAATCTTCCAAGGTTGGGCAGTAGCCACATTTCACAGAACGGAGAAAATGCTTGAGCTAGGCAAATGAATTACCCCAACCCACTCAGTATGAAGGTGCTGAAAAGCTGCTCTTTCTGAGCTGCGGCCCCTTCCGGGCCTCCCGTCCTGCTGACCTGGTGCTTTTTCTCGGTGTCCAGCCTCCGGCGTGAGTGCAGAGAGCTGAGAGCCTCCCGGAAGGTGGCCCGCAAGGCTCGCTCCATCAGGGCCTTGTGGTATGCTCCCACCACGTTCCCGCACAGGAACAGCATGGCATTTGCCGCCAACTGTGGGTAAAGGCCAGACTTAAAAAGCATACCACCCCGGCGGGTTGGGAGAATCTATCTGTGGCCTTGGAGCTGCTTCCAAGAACAGGACGAGGTAAGCCTGGCTCCACAGTTAAGGACCCAAGTATCTCAGAACAATTGGTACCATACCGTGACATCCGCGAGGAAGAGCCGGTCCTCTTCCTCCTCTGCGCTTTCTGCCGCACACTAAACTATAAGGCCAACCTGGCCACTTAGGCCAGGATGTATATTTACAACTAGCATGTATATTTCCTCTGACTAGAATACTATTCCACCATGTTCATCTCCCGAGCCCATTCCACCTGCAAGAAACTACTCAAGTTCTGATTCACATTTTCCATGTACCGTCCACTCTTCTGTACCTGTGAGAGGACCATGATGTCCCCGTGGCTATAGTGCCCTCTTCTGGTAAAGGCAGGTATGGCACATTGGTGTACCCGAGCTCCAAGAGGTCGCTAAAGCAGTTTATCTGTGATGGATCCTACACTCACGGTCTAGCTCAGCAAACGCTGGGAGCGTTTGTTTGTTTGTTTGTTTGTTTGTTTGTTTTTATCAAGCAGCTGAGGGTATACTACCTGCACCTGTTGAGTTTTTACCTGCGGTAGCAGAGCCCTCTGTGGGTCAGGCTGCCACCCGAGGTACACTCCAAGGACCAGCAGGTGTGAGAGTGATGAGGTGAGGCCTGCAACAGCAGCATCTCGCATGCCCAAGGGCAGCATGGCATACACGGTGAAGATGATGAAGAGGAAAAACGACACCTGGAGAAAGGTGTGGGAAGCTGAAGGCCTGGGTTGTACTGCACAGGGTCTGAGTTTGAGGTCCACATTTCCCGGTCCCCTTGGCTGTGACTCTTCTTACCTGGTCCCAGGCGCTCACCACACCCCCAGTGAACAGGAATCCATAGCCCAGGGCCAGGAGTGCAGCCCATATGAGGCCAGAAAGAGGCCGAGTCCATCGCTGCAGCTGTCGCTCCCGGGAAGCTAGCCCCAACAGCAGAGAGAAGCCACCCAATGCACACAGCACAGTTATGAGGAAGCCTGGGTCTGAGGTCAGCTCCTGTAGAGAAAGGGTGGATGAAGAAGCACTGGGAGGAGATACTTTGAAGCTTTCTCAAGGTGAGAAGGGGCAAACTAGATGTCCTTCAAACCAGCTCTGTAAAGTGTCTTAAATACATGTACAAGAAGAATATAGGGCTAGTGAGATGGCACAGTCAGGAAGGGTGCTTGCCACCAAACCTGATGATCTGGCTTAATTCCCAGAATCCACATGGTGAGAGATGAGAACCCACTCCTTGGAGCTGTCTTTACACACATGCACACACAACTAGATAAATGAATTTAAAGAAAGAAAGAAAGAAAACATGGCCACTGATGCTTGCTTTTCACATTAGGTTGAACCATAAGAAGCTGCTGAAATCCAACTGTTTTCATCCACAAAGGTCAGCAGTCTTACATGATTCAACCTAATATATCTCAAAAGTTGCAGTGGGACCAGGAAGAGCTATCCAGGAGACCTGCTTACTCTTGGCTATTTGCAAGCCTGTGCTCTTCCTGTTTTCTTTCTCTCTTTCTTTCTTTCTTTCTTTCTTTCTTTCTTTCTTTCTTTCTTTCTTTCTCTTTTTCCTTCTCTCCTCCTCCTCTTCCTTTTCCTCCTCCTCCTCCTTCTTTGTTTTGAAGCAGGGTCTCATGTAGCTTGGGTTGGCCTCCAACTCATTGTAGCTGAAGCATTTGAACTCCTGGTCCTGTCCCTATCTCCCAAGTGCTGGATTCCAGACTTGTCTGGCTGTTCCCACAGTTCTTACCTGTTAATGGGGAACATTAGCATCTGCTTGGCATTCAGGAGTGAATTCACCCAAATGGCTGATTTGTGTGGGAGAATGCTCTCTCCTGAAGCCATGGTGCTAAACTTCAACACACACATCTACCTGGGCAGCCCAAGGTTCTGCAACTCCTTGCCATCCAAGCACTGAGGTCTAAATAGCTGCCTTTTCTCAGCCCTGTCACTGTCCCCACCTTTGTCCCCACCTCTTTCTGGACCTGGGGTAGAGAAGGATGAGCTGTGCTCATCCTTTTTTCCCACCTCGCCGTCAAGGAGTGAAAGGAAAACCCGGAGCAGAGTGTTTCCATATTTGAAATGGAAGAGCCTCTTCCTGCCCAAAATGAAGATGGGGAAAAAAAAGTTGGTGGAGGAAGAGGGCAACTGAGCCACAGCGGGATGAAACTGCCTTTTGGAAGTCTGTGGGCACCGCTCACAGCCCCACATTCCCAAATCTGGAGAGAAAAAAGTCAGGAAATGAATTCCCCTAGGGCCGGTGAGTAGAGTTTCCTCTCTGGTAAAATGGAAAATCCGGTGTTGGATTTACTCTAGAACCAGTAGACGGCGGTGAGAAGCACCCAGGACTCACTTCCCAGTCTAGACCCAGACAGCAAGCTTAGAGGGTGGACAGCTTGGTCACACGTGCCCAGGGCCACAACAGTTCATGACGAGGTTCAGTGCTCTTTTCCGGTTCCCAGCAAATACATTATTAGCTAAAGGACCCCGCAAATCCCAGCCCTTCAAATGTCCCCAGCCTGAGGCAGCCCATCTCACCCTGCCGCTGGCCCAGGCGACGGCGGGCAGTGCCAGGAGCGCGCAGAGCACGATGACCAGGAGCAGCAGCAGCAGTGGGTACTGTTGGCTCAGGCTGTAGTAGGTCTCGTAGAAGAGATCTTCGCTGGGAGGAGGCCGGGGACTGAAGAGGCGGGCCATGGGCTTCCCGGCCCCAGCCTGGAGCCCCTACTCTGGGGACGGCAGGGGGCTGGCTTTCCCAGGGCCTCTCTCACCCGAGCCCCTAAACTTTCAGCAGAAGGGGTCCCCGCCAGGTGCTCTCTCACAGGGCTCCCGGCTGGCGGCTGGCGGCTGGCGGTGACGATACTTCTCTACCCTTCCCACAAACCAGACCGTGCTAGTGCCCTAGCAGAATTCTCACCAGAGGGACAGAGTTGGAGCCGACAAAGAAGGGACCCCAGAATCTCCCTCTACCCATCAACTCACTGCTTTGGGTTAAGCTCCCGAAGTTCATTCCCCCTCGCTGCTTCAGGGCCTGCCTGGCGACTGGCACTTCCCTCTTGGCGCCAAGGCCCCCTCCCACTTCCCCATGACACAGCCCAGCCCCTTCCCGTGCGGAGCTGGGCTCTCCTGGCTGCCTCCCATGCTCAGATTGTGTTTTCTAACCATCACCTTCCTCTTTCTTTAATGAAGCGCGTGTGGGCCGTGGGAGGAACACGAGGTAATGGGGAGGACCAAAAGGGATGTGTCAGGGTAAGGATACAAAGTTTCAGAGTGGGGAGGTCAAGGAAAGGCTGGAAGTGAAGCCTAAGAATCCTGGGAGAAGCGCCCTTCTGGTACCAGCTGGGGCTGGGGTGTGGGTGAGGTCCCCCTGGTGTGGCCAAGTGTGAAGCGGAAACTCAGCTCCTTGGGTTGGTTCGATGCTTTGTTGCATACAGTTATCAATTCTTGGATACAGAAAATCAAATATGCTGCCGTGCCTCGAAAGCAAGCCGCACACAGCTGTGCAGCAGGATAGGAGGAAGACCGGTCTAGGGAGCCTGGGGCAGCTCCTGAGGTCCCTCCTTCGCCAGAGGCCCAAACCCCAGTGCTTAAATTCAAGGAGAAAAGGAGAGTGGAGAGACTACAGCTTCTTTCTCGCCAGTTTAGGCTTAGGGTGGTGTCAGTCCTGAGCCCTGGAGGAAACGCTCCACCCTGAGACTGGAGCACCGGAGCCCTCTGATGCCTTCCCGCCACCAGCTGGACCCTGACCTTCCGTGCCAGGAGTTGGCCTATATCTGATCCCCAGAGGCCTTTTTCCTGTTGCACCATCTCCTTCTACCCTGGGTAGAGCCAGCTCCTGGCTGCCCATCCCTGCTGCCCTGGATTGACACCTCCGACTCACAGTAACATATTGTATTTATTGACTTTTGGAAGATAGGTCAAAGTCAGTCTGGGTGTAGGCCCAACTGCTCTCCATGAGTGTTGCGAGCCACAGGGAGTCTCGGCCATTCCAGGTTGCTTACAAAGTGCTTTTATTCCCACCGTAATGACTAAGTGGTGACTCCCAGGGTCCAGGCTCTTGCAGACACTCTCTGAAATCTGCTCGTGGACGGGTTACCGGCCCGTTCCCCTGCCCATCTGTGTTGGGCCCTTCTTGGAAAAAGCAGTTTTTGGTTGTACCGACAAGACGTTGTTGTCCCCGATCTGCACTCCGTAACAGTGGTTGAAGCTAAATGATGGCTGCGGCGGCCCTTTAAGAGAGGAGGAGGTGGTGGGAGGATTCAGGGGTTAGAAAGGTGTGGCTCGGGGAGAGAGGCAGCGGCACCTTGTGTCCACCCTGGGGAGCGCAAGTGCGGGGTCTTTGCCTGAGAGGAGCTGTGTCACAGTACGATTTGTGTCTCCTCAGAATTAGTTTTGTAGAAGCTCAAGAGCAGTGCCTGATATTTGGGTGTCTTCGGTGGGAGACGCTCTGGACTGCCTTAGCAACAAAGGAACCAAGGGAGCTCATGGACCTGGTGCTGGGGAAAGTCAGCAGGTCCCAGGCCAATCTAGGTTTTGTTGTGTGACCTCAGTGAGCTCCTTTCCTAGTGCGAGTCAGGTTTCTCGCATGTTAAATAAGACATATGGGGCTTAGATGATCTCTAGTCATTTCTTCCCACCTCCAAAGTAACTTGAGTCTATATATATATATATATATATATATGTGTGTGTGTGTGTGTGTGTGTATATATATATATATATATATATGTGAGGAGGAAGAAGGTGATGGGAAAGTTGAGCAGGGGAGACCAATAGAGGATGAAGAATGGGTACCTGCTGTTGGATTTGGCCTTGGGATCCCAGGGGACCAATGAGGGCCATGTCTTCTATTTCCCTGAAAACATCAGAGTTCACAGGCTTTCGGGAGGGTAGTCCCATTGCTGCATACCCATCAGGCCTAAGTTTCCCTTGGGAAGGGGGCATAACCTAGTTTTTCCAGTGTCTCACCTGATTCCCTTGGGGGCTGGGATCTGGAGTCTCATTAAAGAATGGTCTAGGTGTTGGGCCTTGGAAGGGTAAAGTGTGTGGAGTTTGGGGAGTCTGAGCCCCCATGTCAGAAGATGGCGTAGCTGTTGTGGCGTGCCCAGTGGGTTCTTCCTGTGTTCTCTTCTCAGTAAAGTTTATGGATTTTTCAGGAGCTGGTCTGGAGGGCTCCTCCAGACGCAGGTGGTCCAGCATTTCAGAAACTGTGGTTTTCCCTGGGCAGTCCATTTCTGTACCTCTTTGGCTTGGCTCTAGGGCAGACGACTTTCTGTCGCTGCTTCTGTGCTGAGACAGATAATGCTTTACCTGCACAGACAGAAGGACCATGTGTATCAGGAGCTGGGGCAGCCAGAGCGAATATTTTCTTGGTCTCTAATCTGATAACTGGAGACTCACGGAAGGTTCGGGTGGGTGGGAATGCTGGTCAAACATTAAAGAATGGTTGCCAGGGGGCATAAATTAGACGGTCAAGGGGACCACACAGCCATCCCTCAATAGCTCCTGGATAGGAAGGTGGTTTTGGAAACTCACTTTGGAGACAGCAGCATCTATCTTGTCCTGTACCTGGATGAAAGCGTCATTGGTTTTTGGTCGGCAATCTGAAAGGCAACAGTGAGTTGTATATGAGCAGAACTTTTTTCCTTAGGAAAGGCTCTGCTCAAGACCCAAGCTTATCCTAGTGGCCAGAGAAATGGCCAACTTGCCCTGGAAGGATGGCCTGTTTTTGGGCTCAGAACTCCAGCAATGCACCATTAACTCCTTCAGTCCTGACAGGCCAGGAGTCTCACGGCTGTCCAGAGGCAGCTCTGTCATTGGAGGTCGATTCTGCCTTTCACACACGGCTCCGCGAACTAGCGATGAATTGTCTACCACTGGAGTTGGGGAGAGTGACCATCACAAAAGGAATTCATTAAACGAGGAGACACCGATTCTGTTGTGGACAGAAGCAGGGAGTCTCATCCCAGGAGGAGGTGAGGTGGGAAGAAGGCAGTAAGGGCGGGTTTGGGGTTTGGTGCTTTCCGGCACCTGGGCTAAGGGTCTCAGAATCCATCTAGGGCCTTACTCTCGGCTTCTCTCCCAGCCAGCACTGCCCACACGAGGATCCCAAAGCTGCATGGAGACAAAGTGGAGGCTTAGCTGGCCACTGGCAAGACCGAGTTCCCACATCACAGCCTTTAGAAGGGCCTAAACAGGTGTTGAAATTTGGGGTGCACTGGGGGTGGATAGCTTACCTGTAGACATCACTGGCTGGAGAAGCCTTCCTGTTGACATCAACCAAGAGCTCTGGGGCCAAGTAAGCTAAGGTGCCTCCCGAATTTCTGGACCCTGACCCTGTCTGTGACCCTCCCTGAAATGTGGACAGGCCAAAATCTGCTAGCTGTAAAGGAAAGGAAGAAGAGGGTATTAGATGACAGGGGCCAGAGAGCCTCCAGAATTCCCCACCTCTCTCCTCCAGAAGATGCAGCCTCAGCCTTTGGAAGCTGGTCTGGGGAACCAGAGGACAGAGGTGGGGTCAATGAAACCTGAGGCAGGAGATCTAAGTCGGTGATGTTCAGGCCTGGATCCATTGAGGGGCTTTGTGGAAAAGGCCTGTGAAACCAGTCCAGGTGGGTAAGGAGGGCGTCCATCACCTGGTATAGCTAGAGCTAAAACTCCCTAGTTGGGTGTTGACGTCTGAGTAATCTTGTATTCAGAGGGACGGGCCGAGGGTACTCAACATGGCCCCAAGCCTGCGCTGGGGTGCAGATAGGCTGACCTTGGCGTGGAGATCCAGGTCCAGTAGGACATTAGAGGGCTTGAGGTCCCGGTGCAGGAGCACAGGGTTCAGGCTGTGCAGGTAACACATCCCCAGCACCACTTCCTGCAGTAGGCGACAGAGGAGAGGCCAGGGCCGAGGGCACGCGGGCTGCAGCAGCCCCGCGAGGGAGCCATACTCCATGAACCCTGTTACAAGAGCCGGCCCTGACGCGCAGTCCCACCTGAGGCTCTCCGTGACCCCCAGCAGGAGCAGCACATGCTGGTTCCGCAGATTCGCCATGGCCTTCACCTCTCTGGATATCGCCTTCCTACAGGCCCGAAGGGGAGCTACGGTTGGGTTGGGCCCTGGGGGATCCCACCCTGACCCCACTCAAGCTCCTTGATCACACCACGCCTGCAGCCGGGGGCCACTCACGAGTTCACGATCTTGACGGCTACATCGTGGCCCCATGTTCTGTGTTTTGCCCGGAACACTGCCCCGAACCCGCCTTTGCCCACAAACTCCGGGTTCTCCAGTTCTTCGCAGCACACGAGAGGGGCCGAGGCACCACTTGGCCTGAGGGAGGGTGAATGTGGAGGCCCCACCTCCGGGTCAGAGCATCCTCCTGACACTGCGCGCGGGCAGCGTGTCCAGCCTCCCTCTGCGGCCCGCCTCGCCCCCAGCGCCGTGCCCTACCTCAGCAAAGGCGGCCTCCGAGTGCGCCCCAGGGCATCCTGTGTGGGTGTGCCGGAGACAGGGCTCACTCCCAACTCACCATAGCTTGAGAGAAGACATCGGGAGCTACCGGCTTCCTGGGGTTGTGCGGGCACAGCTGGGGCTGTAAACACGACGCCTCGGCTGGGGGTGGCGTGTGGGCTGATTGAAGACAGGGTCCGCAAGGGGAGCAACTGATTGGTCACAAGGCGCGGAGGTCTGCGCCCCGAATTCCGCTTCCCAGGTCGCTCCCCGGCCTTCGAATGACTGAAGCACTTCCTTTTTAAAGGCGGTGCTGCTCGGGGGCCCGCCCCCTGGGGTGAGGCAGAAAAAAAAAAAAAAACCAACTTGGGGGCTGTCGTTTCCTGTGCACCTGCCTCGAAATTGCTTCCACTTAAGGGAATAAACTAGTCATTGGGTGTGCCACAAAAGGAGCCCTCACCGTCGAGGAACACGCAATTGACTCCCCGCAGCCAGGTACACAAGCTGGCTTCTTTAATCTTGTTGACCTTGGCAGAGGCAGGCCAAGTAAGTGTGGAAATAGCTTAGCATCGGGTTCTGCTCCACCAAGCTGGCTCATATTTATTTCTTAAGGAAAACAACAACAACAACTTTTGAGACAAGGTCTCTCCATGTAGGTTTGGTTGATCTGGAACTCGCTATGTAGACCGGGGTGACCTCACACTCACAGAGGACCATCCGCCTCCGCCTCCAGAGTAAGTGCTGGGATTAAAGGTGTGTGCCACCACGCTCGGCTCATTTATTTATCTTAAAATTTGTGTATGTATTTGTGTATGTATGTAGAATTTGTGTATGTGCAAGTCCGTGTATGTCGGGGTGGGCTGCGTGTCATGATGTGTGCGCTTGTGGAGGTCACAGGACAAGCTCAGGTAAGGTTGTCCTTCCGACTTGTTTGAGACGGTGTCTCTTTGTTGTGGTCTGCTGTGTGCACAAGGCCAACTAGCCTGTGAGCGTCCCAGCATTCTCCTGTCTCTGCCTCTCACCTTTCTGTAGGAACGCTGGGGAGGCAGGCGTGGGCTACTGTCCCCAGTTTCACTTGAGTTGTGGGGATTTGAGGTCAGGTCAGCATGCTTGCAATGAGGAGAGCTTTACCCACTAAGTGGCCTCCCCACCTCCCCTAGCTCAAGCTAGCTTCTGTTTGCAAATGCCTCTGGGCTGTCTAAGTCTGCCTGTATGGGTGGCTGGGGAAGGTGTGAGATGAGTAGCAATGAAGGGCCTCCCTCTGAATTCCTGCTCAGGACTTAATAAGCTCTTGCTAAGACAAGTCCTTGACGTTGGAAGCAACTTGTCTGCTCTACGACCTGCTCCGTGAAGCTGGAAGGCCAAGGTCTATCCCAGGCCATTGCAGGCTAGACATGCTGTCCCTGCTGTAAAGGAATTGCCATTGCAGTGTTCACTGCAGCAAATATGACTTAGGGCTTCCCACCCTTCCCCGTGTGCGGTGCCTCCTGCATGCAAATACTCTGATTCATGTTCCTGATAAGAATATACTCTTGGAGAAGGCTTTTCAGGACCCCGCAGTGTCACAGTGCTGGGTAACGGGAGTGCCTTCAATCTCAACACTCAGGAGGCTGAAGCAGGCAGACATCTAGGACCAGCCTGGTCTACATAAGGCCTTCCAAGCCAGCTAGGGCCACATAGCAAAACCTTGCCCCAAAGTAAGCAAGTGAAAAAGAACTTAAGGCAGGGGCTGGCGAGATGGCTCGTCAGTTAAAAACAGTGGCTGCTCTTCCAGAGGACCCAGGCTTGATTCCCGGCACCTACATGATGACCCACAACTGTATATAATGCTAATTCCAGGGAATTGGACACCCTCTTCCATCCTCTGTGGGCACTAGACATGCACGTGGTCACAGACATACATGCAGACAAAACACTTATACACATAAAATTAAATTTAAAAAGAATTTAAAGTGTACTGGTAAATTTTACCGGTCCACGGCATGATGGTGCCTGGAGGTGGAAATTGCTGGACAGTCAGCCCTAGCATTCAGTCCTCAATAGGACAAGCCAACCCCAAGCTACACTCTGGAGCGATTTCATAGTCACTCTTCATTTCCTCCTCCCAGGTCCCATAAACTACCACTTTTTTCCTCTCTGTAAATCTGAACACTTCAGGTTGCCTTATAAAAGAGGCATCGATCCATCCCAACACTCAGGAGGCAGAGTTAGGCAGATCCCTGTGAGTTTGAGGCCAGCCTGGTCTACAGAGTGAGTTTCAGGACAGCCAAGGCTACACAGAAAAACCCTGTCTTGAAAACAAAAACAAAACAAAACAACAACAACAAAAAAAAAAACCCACCACCACCACCAAAACTATCTTCGAGGTTCATTATGTTATGGGATGTTTCTGGATTTTATTAAGGTTAAATTAAGGATTTTATTAAGGTTAAAAGGCCCAAAATATTCTAGCTGTATATCACACTTGTATTCTGGACATGCGGGCGGTTTTCTCCTTTTGAACACTGAGTGAACCCTGCCTGGCCTCTGGTTCTTTCAGAAGTGGAAGTGCTCACAGCACATGCCGTTGAAGTGAGAGAGCCAGCTCTCTCATCAACATGGGTTTGGTAAGATGCTCAGCGGTTTGGGTTGAATGTGCTGGAACACTTCCCCCCTTTGATGCAGGTCAGAATTTCTGAGATCTTAGTCTGCCTGCCTTAGGGATCTCGCAGTGTGGTGGAGTGAAGCGTCTTCATTATTTTGGAAATGTCTTTTCACTCCTTGAAAAAATACATTTGCAGGATATAAGATTCCAGTGTTTACATCTTTTCCCCTCTCCTAATGTGATTCCAAGTTTATGTCTGTTAAGCCTCTTTGCTCCTTACACTAAGCTTTTCTGTAGCCTTGCCTGTCTTTGCCACATTAAAAGAAGGCTCTTTTTCAGGGGACCTGTTTGTTTGGCTGTGGCTCCGTTTGACCCAGCTCTGCAATTTTAGTAGTTAACACAAATTTTTGGCTGGTGTTTCTTTTTTCCCCTCTAAATCTATCTGGGAATTTAAAGACATTTTCTTTTCTTTTTTTTTTTTTTTTCTTTTTTTACTATGTTTGAGTAATGGATGGTAGTAACAGCAACAGTGTGGCTGTACTTAATCACTGAACCGCTTATTTCAAATGCTTAAAATGATACATTTTATGCTACACATATTTCATCTGATGGAGATACATTTTCATGTATCAGAAAAGAGATCCAGGGACAGGGAGTGTTGCTCAGTTGGTGCAGTGCTCACCTCTCATGCTAGTGCAAACCGGGAGCAATGGTGCACACCTGGCCTCCCAGAATTCCCCCAGCATTCTGGTGGTGGTGGCAGGAAGCTCCAGAGTCTGAGGTTCTTCTCAGTTACATAGTGAGTTTAAGGCCAACCTGGGCTACATGAGATCTTCGTGCCTCAAAAAGGGAGGGGGATTCTATGAAGATGCATCAATGAATGTTTAACTGTTTGTATTAATAAGCAGTTATCTGTGTGTAGACATTAAAGTTCACTGGGGGAATAAAAGAACGGTGTAAAACTGGGAATGGTAACACGTGACTGTGATCACAGCTCTGTGCAGGTCCAGGCAGGGAGGTGAGGGGTTCAAGGTCCTCTGATAATCCCCAGATTCGAGGACAGCCTGTGCTACAGAGTGAGAGAGGGCCTGCCTCAAACAACAGAAAGAAAAAGAAGCAATAAAGAAGAGCAGACATGTGCATAATCGTGTTTAGAATATCTGAGTAAGAGATAGATCTATTGGCCCAACGCTGGAAAGGTGGAGGCGGGAGGACCATGAGTCTGAGGCTAGCCTGGTAGATGCGGTGAGATTCTGTCTCAAACAAGCAGAACTGAAGGATCCAGTAGAAGCAGGTTCAAGGGAATTGCTCCTGGATAGGGACTTTATAGGTGGACTATTTTTATTTTTTTGTGTTTTATGGATTTTTTTTCCCCCCTCAAGATTTATTTAGAAGGGTGACAGACCTCTTGGAATTGGACTTACAGGCTGTTGTGAGCCACACAGTTTGCTTGTTGGGAACTAAACTTGGATCCTTTGGAAGAGCAGCAAGTGCTCTTAACTACTGAGTCATCCCTCAGCCCTGTATGTCCTTATTCAAAGCTTCATCTTCTCATATTTCTGAGATGACTCCATGGAGCATGCGCAGTGACACTGGGTTGCAGCCTCCTGTTTTCCCCTAGGACACCGTCCAGGCATGAAACAGCTTCCCTTCCTCCCTGCTACTCTAACCCAGAACCTTTGCTGTTGAACTTTTGTACCTAACTGATATTACTGGGCCCCGAGTTTGCCTATGGTAAACAGAGATAAACTTGCTGGAGTGTGCGCGTTCGTGTGTGTGTGTGTGTGTGTGTGTGTGTGTGTGTGTGATTCCAGTCCAAAAGGATATTGTGAGCCAATAAGGAAGTCCACAGGGCAGACTTACTTTCTGTTTTCCTTTCTGTGCAGGCATCCTCACGTCATTGTCATCAACAGTAACCAGTGCTGGCCTTTTTCATAATTGATAGTTCATAAAAAGCACTATCACAGCAAATCACCACAGATGTGAGGTTGGAAATACTGCAGAAATCCAAAACCCTCTAGCTTCTTTTTTTTTCTTTTTCTTTTCTTTTTTTTTTATGGTGGCACTGAAGGTCCCTTGTCACTGTGCTAACTGCTGGGAAACACCAGAAGGGGAGAGATATAACTAGGGGAAGACAAAAAATTAAGCAAGCAAGCAAGCAAACAAACAAAAAACCGAATGACTACAAAAATCTGTCTGTCCCAGGGGAACTGGGCTGCACTTGGAGAAGTCACAAAAGCAAATCCCGGGGTTGGGCAGAAAGAAGCTAGCTACTGGGTAAGTTTCTGCCTGGAGGGAGGCCTCACCCGCTCTGGCCTCTGCTGCTCCCTTCTCTTGGGCTGTTTTCTGTTGGAAGCCCCTCCGGTGCTGAAGGCATGCTTGTCTTCAGGATCCTATGCCTGGCAGGCCCCTCTTGTTTTTCTGTATTGAAGCTGAGATGCCTTCATACAGCCACTGGATCCTGAGACACCTATGCTTCCTGTCTCACAGAAAGCAGTGTGGAGTGTTTTGATTAATTGTAAAACCTCCTGGGCTAGGTTATTGTGAAGATGGAATGAAACAAGACACATAACACATGCTCAGTAAATAGTAATCATCCCTACAATAAACACTACTGAATTTCCAGTGGGAGGTGCATAGATTCAAATTCCCTGGTAGAACAGAGAAAGCTGACCTAACTGCTGCTCCAAATGGCCAGCTTTTCCTTCTGATAAGTGTCCAGCTCCACCCTTTCCTCTCGGTGCCCTTTAAGGACGTATTCTCTCTTTTCTCCCAGAGACTTGACCTGAGGGAGGTACTAAGGAAGTTAGTGTTCTCTGGCTTGCCATCTTAATGGAGGGGAAGGTGTGGTCGATGCTCACAGTCACTTGACAGTTCCCTGTCTGGTACAGGAGTGCTCACCTTGGTTAAAAGCTTGCTGTATTACTTACCTGAAGGTGGGCTCTGTGCTGGGTCATCACTCAGGGCGCTTTGTACGAGAAACCCTCGGGCGGCCTGTGGTTTGAGCTGTGGTTGTGGTTGACCTTTGCTGATCCTGACAAGGCCTCATGTAAGAGGCCTGGCTCTGTATCTCTCCAGCAGCTGATCAGAAGTGTGGGGAGAGGGGATGGGACTGGATGCTCTGAGTGTGGCCCTCAGCTCCCTGTTAAA